AAAAAAAATCCAACAATCCAACGGTCTCAAAGGATCTACATGAACTCTAATGAAATTACAGTCCTCATATTCGTACATCCACGCCTGAGTGGTAATTTCTCAAAGCCTGGATTTGAGGAAAAGAACATCCTACGTTTACAAAAAGTGTCTAGAGGGACTCGCAAAAGGATATGCAGGCATCAAAAGGTCTACCCATCGAAAAAATCAAATAAAAGGGACCGCTGAAAATACACTAAACAGATCTCCGTTCTCGTAGTTGGTGTGAGGGAGGTAGGTGGGAGGAGTTCATTTTAGCTAGAATTATGCCACACCTTCGATACCGTCGAAAACGTTGAAAAACTGCCACAGCTACAGTATTCGGTAAGGGAGCAGTGTCAGGACCACTTCAGCCAGCCGCGTGACCTACCTTGGGCGAAAGTGGCAACCGCGTGGTACCTCCTGACCCACACCACGGATTTTCGTTCATCACGTGCAATATTCTGTTCAAAGTGTGTTTAGAAAGATATCACCAGCAACAGTGATTGTGATAACGGCCTTATAAAAGCCCTAAGATCGAGTGGGATGCATTTTACTCGTATTAATGTCTCTTACCGGATCTCCTCCATCGATTGTCGTGGATGCTAATGGCGAGACACAAGTCTATACGCTCACCAACAGTGGCATGACAGATCTCGTATTTAAACTGAAGACTTCCAACAATACGGACTACCTTTTCAAACCGGTATTTGCGTTTATTAAAGCCGGTACTACACAACGAGTCGAGGTGGTCCGTAAGGTAAGATCCATCATTTTCATATGAGGTAGATGTCAGCCATGAATAATCCATAATTTTCCAGAAGGGATCACCAAAAACAGACAAATTCGTCGTTCAGTATGCAGTAATGCCTCCAAATGCTAGAGATCCTCAAAGCGCTTTTCCTTCAACACAACAGGTTCTTGGACAAATCACAGTTGGACTGTATGCTCTTCCTTAAGTGTTGAATAAAACTAATATTTTTAATTGATCAAGTGTTTTCGTTTTCAACACGAGCATAGTTAATGTAAATGAGTTTTTGAAAGGAATTTCTCCAACGGGAAGGATTGATTCTTAAGAGCACGGAGGCATTCTCAGAATGACAGCAATCGTACAAAGCTAAAGTCGCTGATAACAGCTTAACAGCCTCTCGAATCCCCATAGCCATCAAGTACTACGATGTCAAGTTCGAACCCCTGGAGAAGATTATATCAAATGATGCTTCAGCTGATTTGAAGGCTGCCCACGACACGTTAGGGCTGATAGTTCGACATTTCTAGGTACCCGATGAGTGAGAATGTGGGTGTCCAGCCCTAAACACGCCTATCTCAAGACATGAGAAATACCCTGATTGGGCTTCTATTCGCTCCAGACCTGAGAGGAACTTCTGTTCACGGGGACTATGAGGCTTCAGACTCAAGCAGCATGCCGAGCTGGCAGAACATGGCGTGAGGAGACCCTAAGTATGCACATCGTCTCGTATGCTTTCATGTACGTAATTAAGTGATCGTATGGCTGAAATTTCGTTCAAGGACCCATGGAAATAGTGTGGGTGGGACTTGCATCGCAGTTGACAGCTGTGCGGAAAAGGAGCTGAGTAAAACGCCAAAATTGTCTCAGAAAATAACACATTTTGCGTTGGCAACACCACACACGGCAACACTTCCCTTTCATCTTATCCAGAGCTATGACGGAAAATGGAAATGAATAGAAAGGGGGGGGGGGGGGGCACGTAAGTATCGCGCTGCCTAGTTCATTTCCCACGATGGCATGCCTCATTCGGGTGAGGAGTAGAGGGGTCAAAGTGGATTTGGATGGACCCTCACCAGCAGCTCCTTCATATCTGGAATGTTTAGTGTATAATAGCATCTCTTTCTGGGTAAACATCCTCAGAATTCAGGGAAAGGACACAGTTCGATAGGTCCTGTAAAAGTGGAAACGTAATCGGTGGCTAAGAGGGGTTTCGAGACCAAGAACTGTGGTCAATACGAAATCATAAACCGATTCGTGAAAGGAGTTGAACACCGAAGGGTCCCCAGTGTTTTCTCTCAAAAATTGATTCAGAGACCGTGGTTTGCAAACAGCCTGCTCGGTTTCCTTCTATGTTTCGAACACCCCCTTATGGTTTGCCCTTAAGTGCAAAAATTACGATCGATCGATCCAGAACCCACAGGAAAGTTGCTTATTCCGGAAAGCATGCATCGGGTGGGAAAAGAATTAAAAGAGCTGTATCTCTTGCTTACCAATGTGAACGTAGCCCTACGTATGCACAACTCTAAAAGAATTTTCACTCAAACTCACCATTACTCATTGCGGTAGTCAGAGAAACGACTTCCTTCTGTGTTTTTTCGTCCTTGCTCACGACAAGATACCCATTCTCACTATGAAGCTCAATCAACTCGTCTTCAGGCACACTTAGATCCCATGCAAAAGCACTAAATGAAAGTTTATTCTGGTCATCAGAACCAAAAAACTAGAAATTTGTTCGAAAATTACTCACGTATAGTTCAATGCTGGTTTCTTTTTGGAAGAAAGATCACCAATAGTAATGTCGATCTGCTCTCCGTAGGTGAACTTTGGAATTGTAGGGAAGAAAGCTTTACCTCCGAATTCCGATCTCCATCTTCAAAAATTACTACAGCACTGTATAGCATACAAATACCACTATGTATTATGTGTTATCATTATTTAAAATCACCTATTACCCATTATCATACCACTGCTTGATTATTGTGGAAGGCTAAATTTCTTGAAAACCCTCGTCTTTGGAATCAACAGCATAACGATTGACTCAAGACGTTGGTTCATTTGTACTACGGTGGTAGGGTCAAGCTATGGAACCCACAGAGGAGAGGCTGCCTGGGAAGGAGATCACCTGGGAAGAGGATCATATTCTTGGAAGGGTAAAGGGTTGTGGTCGTTAAGCTTGTGACAGCTTTCATATCAAAAACTGGCATTATTGAGGAAGCTATAAACTCGATAAATCCATTTCAACTTTCTCTCCCTCATTCAATCAAACCCCTCACAAGGAACTTCAATTCTTATGAATCCCTTCTCAAACTCTCAGGAAATTTCACAAGTTTTCCAATGAAATAGCGTACCTTCCGACCATCCAAGCAATGGACTGAAGCTCAGACGGTAGACGTCGAATGTCGTATCCTGAAAATGGGGCAGTGCCAATTTTCCACATAACCTGCTGACGGTAGTCGAGAACGTAGGCGTCTTACTTGGATCAACAACTTCCCCACATGTCTGACACATTCGTGGGCAATGCTCCATAACCAAGCCTGATTCATCACAGCTTGATCGATTAGAAGCAATCTAGAAAAACTGGTAATCATCCCAGAATCCTTACATTAACTATCTACATATGCTTACAGAAGTAGATTTCTCTTACAGCACCCCAGAGGCATGAAGATTCCATTATCTACTCACTACCTTTCTATTCAAAGTTTAGACAAACTATTTATTATTACTGAGGCCTTTTGACAAAGAAATCAATATTTTATAAATATTTCTTGATTAATAATATCTTTATGACTCCAGTGAACTAAGCGCCACAAAACCGCTCCCATACAAATTAAGGGCAAGCGGCGACAGCGGAATCGTTCTGCTCGATAGGCACTGCAGGAGTTCCTTTCGATTTCCTTAAAACTCGACCCAAATTTTCACGAGACGGGTTTTGATATAATTTTTTTTTTGCTGAAGAATAAATGGTTTCTAATAGTTTTGTCCATAAATCGCCAACCTTGTGAATGGCTTTTGAATGAAAAAAAAAACAAGTTGAGATAAGTGAATGAAACCTTTCTGAATTAGAAAAGAATAAATGTATCAGAATGAAGATCATTTGTATTGACACTCACTACAGCATTAAAAGACATCTTCTATTCCGTGTTATTTGTCAAGGTAATCAGGGTTTCCATCGAAAAGGTGGACTCCGACCAATACAACAACATTACATTTAATATTCTTTTCTATCCTTATAGCAGTTTTTAAGAGCGTCAATCGGATTTTTGACATATGTGGCATATAGATTCTCGACGGAAATTCCTTCATTTCACTTTCCAGTGCTCCCAACATTAAAGGCAACATTCAATTACCCCAGCAAAAGAGCTTACATTTAAAAATAGTGTTACAATTTCCAAAAATGCGTTGATAGGTTTTGGGTGGAGAGTATGGGAAAGGAAGGAACATACATAATATGAATTTCTTCACCCATACATGTTCGAATCCTACCATTTGAATTACATAGTTCCAACTAGTAGGTCGATTCCTGTGCACTACTCTATCCCTTTTGCCATGACGTGCTTAATCCCATGTGGTCAGTATGGGTGACATGATGTTCCGCCTCATGAAGAAGAAGTTACTGTACCGATGAAAGGAAGAGTATTTCACTGGTATAAATGGACGATTGATAGTTTTGGTTATCTTAATGGTATAAATGTAGGATCGGTAGTTTTAAAGGCACCGTTCACAAAAGAAGTTAGGGTACCCTTTTTTGACGGGAAATCGATAGAACTACTCTAGAATAAAGCGATAACAACGAAAAAAGCGCAAAACACGATGAACAAAAAGAATTACAAAGGGCCAAAAAAGAGCTGGAAAGGGGGTTGGACGAGTTTCACATTGAAAGAACGTCGGTTAGAGAGTGTTNGGGCAAATTGGCAAGTTGCCAATTTGCAGTTCAGGATGGGTCCTGACGCGATTACATGACACTGTGTCGTCTCGACACTCGTCTAACGTGACATCGGTCGAGGGGCGGAGATGCAAATTACGACAACAACGGGCCCGCCATTATGCCCTGGACGTCGAAATTGCGGGAGTGAGAAGGACCCTTCTACAACCCATGGGGGCCGCTGAGTATTAATAAAGTAGGAACTCAATAACTTTTTTGTCGTGAACGGTGCCTTTAATCTGGTTAAGGCTGGTATACATCCCTCCTCCCGTGTTCCCTTTCTACTCATCTGATCAATAGGATCTCGGAAATCAATAGGCAGATGGGGTTCAAGCGGTCAAGAACTGGACCAAGGATCGATCAATTTTAACGGAATTAAGTGATTAAAGAAAAATTTGAGGCCAAATATGCATAGGTATTCCAAATGTAAAATTGAAAAAAAAAATTAAAATTAATAATTACAACATCTACTCGAGCTCTTTACCCCGTCACCCATAGTTGCATTTGTGTTGTTTCTTACGACCACTTAAATCGTTGCGAAGATATAAACAAAATAAAAATAAACAAAGCAAAACCACTGGCAGTGAGACTTACCCAAGTTGCACAATTCATGTCTGTATCCCGACATTTGTTCGGTTTAACGGCAATCAGAACAGGAACCATGAGGACGAGAAAACAATAAAAAGATGTCATCGCTGGAACGAAAGAAAAAGTCAAAATAAGTCTTTTAATAAGACGAAATGGCACTTGAAGGTCGAGGGTTTCCACGAGAGAATTAGCTATGAGATAAGGGAATTCATGAGTAAACGAAGAATCATTTCAGTCCATTCCGACCTATACGTCTAGGTGATGCTTCACTGATGACGCCAGCTAAGCCGTTTTTAGCCGAAAACTCGTAGCAAACACGGATCGGATTGGTTACGAATAGGAAGGGTTGCGTCACTGCTTTTGGAGAATCAACAAAGCCTGTCGGTCTAGATGCCTTTGTTCCAATTTGATCATTCAACTAAGCTGATCATGATGCAACTGACACAAACAGAAGTCTTCCTGTAGGGTAAACGGTGGCAAAAGTTGCTGAGAAATCGCATGAGAAGTTCAGCTAAGGTATAAGTTTCGTAAGATGGGACATATCTGGAAGTTTGCTTAAGGTGAGTAGTGCTCCGCTGAAGAAAAGAAGCTCCATGACTGAGTCAGTACTTCCGAATCCGTCCATGGGTGTGATTTACCGGCACCAACTCGCTAAACCCTTAAAATCTGACAATCAGTACTCCTCATGAGCTTCAGCTATTACATCTATGGAAGTGTGAACTCACTAAGACTCAATTGCGAAATTCTGAATCCCCACACTCGCGGAACTATCCTCGAACACATCACCTGGAAGACTTTCACATCTTTTTACAACAGAAGGATCGGTCAGCGATCCCGGCTCGCCCTAGGGATGGTGACAATTCTTTCCCGACTCTCACCGTTCGAAACGACCCTCATGCATGGCCTCACTCACTGAATGATACAGGTCTAGGGACTACCGCGACAATAAGAAAGCGGGTTTTGTTTCTTCTTCATGGAACATAAAAGACGGTCACATCTTCACCCATCGTTTTGAGTGCTAATGAACTACTGCTATCTATGCAGCCACAATATACCAACTTGCAAATCATCCTTGCTTTTTGTATTGGCACCTAGTTGGAGGGGAGAAGTTACGTGGTGTCGGATGGTGAACAACCATGGTCCACTGACCAAATCCCACCAAATACCAGCCTAGTCCAACCACCCCTTCGAGTCGGTTATTCGGTATGAGACTCCGAAGTATAAAAGCAACGTCTCGTACATTGGCTGGTCGCAAACATTCACTTCCCAATTCATTGTATAGCCCACATACGCACTTGAACCGTCACTACGAATCTGAGTGGAAATCAAGTGCGAGGTGTATCCCAGAACGGAATTGATTAACGTCAAAGCCTTTATCTTTCATCATTATCCTCGGAGTTTCCCCAAATCAACTATCAAAGGCCTGGGGAAATGGCTTCAACACTCCTCCTCAGCAAGTGTTCGGCTACAATTTCCAAGCAAAGTTAATGAGAGAGGCCGGCCGTTTCAGGTGTAGTAAAATGATCGTTGCGAAGGAATTCACTTTATCATAAAGTTCCGATTTTTTTAAACCTCCCGTGGTAAACATTGCAGATCGAAAAATGTGAAAAAAAGTATATTCCGCTATGTACTCCCAAGAAATCAGATAGAAAAACTGCAACAGGAAGCATGCGTGGCTATTTACAGCTGAGGAATTCACGAGTTTCTAACCGGGTCCAATTTTTTACGATAATATCACTGTGGAGTAGCAGAACTCGCCGAATTCCCATGTTCGCTTTGCCGCTTGCGGCAAATTTTTTTTAGTCTTAAATATCAATCTACAATCTATTATCAACAATCAACTGCATTGGAGAAGAAAGAAGTGGCCAGGAGTGGAAAATAATTAAAGGACTCTGACAGGCAGATTGTGTGCTCCAATCATCCATTGCATCTCTGCGATAGCGGCGTGTACTTCCAGCGCGACGCGAATTTCGGGTAGAATTACCCACTACGCCTGTACTACTGTTACAAGCAAGAAGTTCGAGAATAGCACAAACTATTCAAAAAGCTGTAGAAGTAGTATGAATCAGGCAGTTATGGGAGCACGGCGGGGACTCGGATCCTATCTGAACTTTCATTCATGCATGCTTGAACTCTGTCAAAGGATGGAAAGAATAAAGCCTCGGCAAAGAAAAAAGTTGCGAGGCAGTCTTCGAGTTGCGCACCCGCATTCGACTTCCATTCAGAATCGTAGAGACGTTTGATTGCGTATGTGGTCTATACAATCAAATGCGGGGCCAGCCGATGCACGAGTCGTGTTTTTATCTTCTTAGACTAGTCTAATAATATTAACAATACTGAATCGTACATAAGCAACCCCGGAAGGATGAAACGCTTGGTTGGTGTAGGTAAATATCGATCCGGGACTCGATCCTAGTACCATGCTGAGCTATCTTGCGCCACTTGCCACAACACCCATGCCTTTACATAGTATCTCAAAAGTGGAAGTAGTTAAACCTTCTAAAAATATCTGCCAAAAAAGGTTTTGCTGATACTTTCTACCTATCGCGTATGTCTTAAGAAGTCCGCGAGGTATCCTTACAGTAGAACCCAATGATCCGAAAAAACTATCAGTATTAGAAATCCGTGGAAGAAAACAAGATTGAGAAAAATCGAGGCCTTCTGGGACATTCTCACACAAGCGAATGGGTAAATTCGGGAAATATCAAATGGATAAGGATATGTGATTGCTGAAGAAGAGATGATATACTCTTTGCTGTCAGTCGTGGTGTCAAAAAAAAATAGAAAAAAACAATCACGGAATTCTAGGGAGAACGAAATTTTGTGAAGGAATAGGTTGTCCAATATCCAGTGAAGACGCCACTACACAGGTATCGATTCGAAGATCAAACCAACGATCGATACCCAAGTATCGTCAACCAACGCTTCCTACCCTATAAGGGATGTAAACTGATTTCACACTTGTCTGGGAAGGTAAAACAACGAAGTCAGTAACAAAAAGTGTTATGTTACTTATTAATATTCATACGACATTATGTAATCCATGTTTGAATGCAGTGGCAACGGGCGCACCATTATATGGTCCATTATCGAATCCCAGTTCCGCCCTGGACAACCAAGTCTTCCATCCCTTCTGGGTTGGTTTGTTTGTACCAGACTCT